TTATATTGACGAAAGGATTATAATTTCACGGTAATCGAATAAATTTGGTTTGTCACATCACATGACATTTCCCATCGCATGTATTGTCAGACACATTGGTAGATGTAAATCTGGGACGACGAATGTGAATTAGTGATAAATTTAAAGGGGTGTTTTAATTTATCAATTTGATTAGATCAAAATAATAATTCACGTCGTTATCATAGCACTAGCCCTTGGATTAACTAGTGTGTGTTTTCTCTTGGTTTTCTTACTCTAAATGGTTAATTAATTAACTATTCACAACGTTTTAATTTTAATTGGATTGCTTATTAATAGATCCGAATTAATTAATTGGATTAATTAATTTATGAATCTGATTTAATTAAGGGAAGATTACATATTCAAGAGAATAAGTTTAGCCTATTTCAAAAATAAGAAAACAAGTTTGAAATTGCCAAAATCAGATTTTTATTTATGAAATAATAGATTATTCAATTAATTTATTATTAAATATTTAATTCTAATATAATATAATTAACCCATCCCACCTTCACCACCCCCACCACTCCGGCGACCGTTCCAATCACCTCCCTACTCCGACGAACTTTCTGGCGACTTCCTGACGACTTTTCCGGTGACTTTTTCGATTCTGACAATTATTTATATTATTAATTAAATATTTATTTATTTTATTAATTAAATATAATGTTGTTGCAATTATACAATTAATGGTCAAATATACATAATTAATTGGTCACAAATTATTTTTGAGGTCACAAATCAAAATAATTATAGGTCACGATTTTTTTATTGGTCACGGATCAAAAATTTTGTAGGTTACGTCACGGATTATTTCGAGATCACAAATCAGGTCACATGTTATTTTATTGGTCACAGATCAAAGAATTACATGTCAGAGTTATCAATCAGTCACATATTTTCAAATTTATTGGTCACAAATTAATTTTTAGTCAAAATTTTAAGGTCACAGTTAGATTTTTTTTGTGACCAACACCAATTTTTGTGACCCACCCCGTCACAGATTAATTTTTAGTCACAATTTTAAGGTCACCACTATCGAATTCTGTGACCACCATCGTGACCACCACCGGCTTCTGTGACCACTCCCGTGACCACCACTAACTTTTGTGACCACCCCAGTGACCACCACTGGCAACTGTGACCACCACCTCATGAGTCATCACTTCCATCAGCCACATCGTCGTCACTGCCACCACCACAACAATACTTCTGTGACCACCCCCGGCAACTGCCTCATGAGTCATCACTGCCGCCGACCACATCGTCGTCGCTGCCACCACCACAACAATACACCAACTTAGATTCGGCCACACCCACCACACACAAAACAATACACCAACTTACCATGACTTCCAGCAACCGTAACCACCACAACCATCACCAACAACTACAAACACAACCAAATCAAATCCACAAAGGAAATCCAATCCACTTCCGTCAAGGACTGCTATTCCACCACAGCCAACCAGCGCGCTCCCTCTCAATAAAATCCCTCACAACTTTGTCACAGCCAACCCACGAAGCCAAGGAAAATCCGTCTCTTCGACAACAGGATAAGCCCAAATAATCAGGATTAAAGAATAAGCCAAAATAATCAGCAGGAAATTCTCGAGATCTAACCAGATCTAACCAGGTAGCAAAGGCTAACATACGTTCTTGATAGTTACAATTTGACGAATTTCACCGCCGATAAAACCTACCAAAGCAAAGCTTGTTTTGAGATACAGTGGTGGTGGGTTTTTGAGACACCACCACCGCACCCAACCGCTGGCGAGAGAGAGAGTCCGGTGGTGATGGTGGCGAGACCGCACCCAAACGCTAGCGAGAGAGGAGAGCGGCGAGAGAGGAGAGCGGCGAGAGAGGAGAGAGGTAGAGAGAGAAAGTGTTTCCTCGAAATGAAGGGAGAATGGGGAAATGACCTGGTGAGCATGGTGGCGGCTTAGTGGTGGCTGTGAGGGAGAGGAGAGGACTGAGACGGAGAGAGCGAGAGAGAAGTGAGACACGTGAATTTAGGAGGTGGGGTGGGTGTATGTATATATTAATTTTTATAATATTATTATTAATATTTAATTAAATATAAAAAAGTAAAAAAAAAAACTGTATTTATATATTA